AGTTGTTTTAACTGGAGTGAGATGATACCTTATTGTAGTTTTGATTTTCATTTATCTGATGATCAGTGATGTCAAGCACCTTTTCCTATACCTGTTTGCCATTTGTATGTTTTCTTTTGAGAAATGTCTATTCAGGTATTTTACCTGTCTTTAACTCATAAGCTAATTTTTTTCCTCTAGAGTTGTTTGAGCTCTTTATATATTCTGGCTATCAATCCTTTGTCAGACGGATAGTTTGCAGATATTTTCTCCCATTCTGTGGGTTGTCTCTTCGCTTTGTTGATTGCTTCTTTTGCTGAGCAGAGCTTTTTAATTTGATGTGATTCTATCTGTCCATTTTTGCTTTGGTTGCCTGTGCTTGTGGGGTATTACTCAAGAAATCTTTTCCCAGAACAATGTCCTGGGAAATTTTCCAAATGTTTCCTTTTTGTAGTTTCAGTCTGAGGCCTTAGATTTAAGTCTTTAATCCATTTCAAGTTTATTTTGTATATGGCAAGACATAGGCATCTAGTTTCATTCTTCTGCATGTGGATATCATTTTCTCAGCACCATTTATTGAAAAGACTGTCCTTTCTCCAATATCTGCATAGACATTTCTCAAAATAAGACATACAAATGGCAAAGAGGTATATGAGAAAGTGTTTAACTTCATCGATATAATAATTTGAGAAATGCAAATCAGAATTACAGTATGGTGTCATCTCACTACAGTTAAAATGGCTTTTATCCAAAAGACTGACAATAATACATGCTGGTGAGGATATGGAGAAAAGGGAACCCTTGTACACTGTTGATGGAAATGTAAGTTAGTAAAACTACTATGTAGAACAGTTTTGAGGTTCCTCGCGAAACTGAAAAGAGCTACCACACGATCCAGCAATCCCACTGCTGGGTATTACCCCAAAGAAAGGAAATCAGTTTATTGAAGAGATATCTGCATTCCCATATTCATTGCAGCTCTGTTCACAATAGCCAAGATTTGGAAGCAATCTCAGTGTCCATCAACAAATGAATGGATAAAGAAAATGTGACACATATACACAATGGTGCACTCTTCATCCATAAAATATATAAGATACTGTTATTTACAAAAACATGGATGGAACTTCTGACAATTATGTTAACTTAAGCCAGGCACAAAAAGACAAACTTCATGTGTTCTTACTGATTTGTGAGAACTAAAAATTAAAACAATTGAACTCATGGAGAGAGAGAGAAGCCGATGGTTACCAGAGGCAACAAAAGGTAGTTGGAGGTTTGGAGGGAAAGTGGGGATGGTTGATGGGTACAAAGAGTAGTTATATAGAATTAATACGATCTAGTATTTGCAAGCACAACAGTCAATAATAATAATTTAGTTCTGAATTTCAAAATAATGAAAAGAGTATAATTGGATGGTTTGTACCACAAAATATAAATGCTTGAGCTGATGAATGCCACATTTACCCTGATATGATTGTTACACATTGCATAACTGTATCAAAATATCTCATTTACTCCATAAATACGTACAACTCCTATGAACCCATAAAAACTGAAAATAGAAATTTTTACAAAAAGAAAGAAAAAAATGCTTATCTTGGGGAAAATGGGAGTATAGGTATCATTTTATCTCATTTTTCTACTTTACTGTTTACAGTTTTTAGTGGGAAAGCATTTCTTTTATAACACAGAAAAGCAAAGACAGCCATTTTCTTACTTTGCTATCTACTCTCTTCCATCTTAGTGTTAGAATCTTTAAAAATACTTGAACATGTTGCTGCACAGAATAAATAACCATGTTTTCCCATCTGCTTTACAGTTAGATATGGCCTTGTGACTTAGTTATGGCCGATAAGATGTAAAGGGAAACATTATATACAATTTTGAGAAAGTTGGCTCATTTGGAGCTAAAATTGACTGGAAAAAAACGGGACCTTTTTCTTCTATCTTCCATCTTTCCTTGTCATGCAATGATATTTTAGAATTCCCACAACCATCTTGGATCATGAAGTGAACTTGAAAATAGAAGCGCTAAAGAGAGTGATGGAGCAGAACGATAGGAGCCTGGGGCCCTGAATCACAGCGTGGAGCCTTCTTACCTGCTTTGGCTTATCTACCTCCAGACTTCTCTCTTTTTCCAGAGATGGAAAAAAAGTTGACTTTGTTTAGGTGATCATTGCTGTAGTTATTACTTGTTGTGTACACAGAGAAACCTAAACCTAACTAATGCAGGGAGGTAAAAAATAAATAATCATAATGCTGTTACTAATTTAAAGTAATACAATTTATGAACACATAAAACAGCACACAAATGATTTACATAAGTTATTTGTAAGAATAAAGAGCTAATTATTCAGTCCTGGGATTCCTAGTTTCCAATAGCAATCCACCTTTCGCATCTGTATGAATTTACTGCATCTATTGAATCTCAGTATCTTATTCAATATAATAGGGTGTGCGGTTCCCACATTGATGTCTATCTCCTGGTCTTCATTCTCTGTGTATTCCTCCCCTTGAGAATAGATTGAAATTACTGTTTCTATTCTGTTCTAATTTATATCTACATTTGTATATGCAGAGAAGCCAAAACCTAAGAAATGAGCTTGGCCGGGCGCGGTGGCTCACGCCTGTAATCCCAGCACTTTGGGAGGCCGAGGCGGGCGGATCACAAGGTCAGGAGATCGAGACCACGGTGAAACCCCGTCTCTACTAAAAATACAAAAAATTAGCCGGGCGCGGTTGTGGGTGCCTGTAGTCCCAGCTACTCGGGAGGCTGAGGCAGGAGAATGGCGTGAACCCGGGAGGCGGAGCTTGCAGTGAGCCGAGATCGCGCCACTGCACTCCAGCCTGGGCGACAGAGCGAGACTCCGTCTCAAAAAAAAAAAAAAAAAAAAAAGAAAGAAATGAGCTTTAGCTTGGTTTAGGAATATACAACAAGCAACAACTACAGTAACAATCACCTAAACAAGCTCAACTTCTGATATTGGGTTACAAAAGACCATTGTTTCCATCTTGCACTTGCTTACTCTTTGTCTCTCGCTGTTTCTCTCTTTCCCTCCCTCCCTCATTCTCCTTCGCTCTGTTGCCATGAAGAAGCCAGCTGCTATATCCTGAGCAGCCCTGTGGAGAAGCCCGTACTTCATGGCTGAGATCCGAAGCTGTCAGTTCAGCAGCCAGTAAAAAAACTGAAGCCTAATAATCACGTGCGTGACCTTAGTGGATCCTTTGAACTCACTTAAGTCTTCATATGTCTGCAGCTCTCACTCACAGCTTATGTGAAACCTCATTAGAGACTCTGAGTCACAGAAATCCAGGCAAATCACTTCCAAATTTCTGACCACAGAAAGCGTGAGAAAATAAATCTTGGTTGTTTTCAGCCATTAAGCTTTGGAGTAATTTGTTATTCAGCAGAAATTGTATTACATAGAGGTGTATCTCCTCATAGGTATTTATTTTAATAAAACAGCTTGAACCCAGGTATTCAAAGCTGCAGTGAGCCAAGATTGTATCATTGCACTCCAGGCTGGATGATAGAGTGAGATCCTCCCTCTTAAAAATACATATATAAAAAGAAAAGAAGCAAAAATGTTTTTATTAAAAATAATTTACAGAAAATTATTTCTGGGAATTTGATCTCCTATTTGCAGAGCATACTCCTCTTTCCACTTTAATTTCTAGATAAAGATGAAGAAAATGTCTTATTTATCTTTTTTATAAGCCTTATGTTAGTGTATCATGGTCTGAATATAGAGTAGGCATAACAAAAGTTGCTTCACTATGGGCCATGCTTTAGGTCAGAGTTTTTAACCTCAGCACTACTGACATTTTAGGCCAGAAAATTTGCTGATTATTTTGTTGTAGGAGAGTTGCATGGTGCATTGTAGGATATTTAGCAGCAATGCTGGCATCCACACACTAGATATCAACACCTTCCCCCCTCCAAGGTCTGACAATCAAAATTGTCTCCAGAAGTTGTCAAATGTTTCCAAGAGGAGCAGACAAAATTGTACCTGTTTAATGTTTTAATGTTCTGGACTATGGGCAAAAAGGGATTTTATTTGGAAGCAAAAATTTGAACAAGGTTGAGTGATGTTCTTGGCACATGGCACATCCTTTCTGCTGAACCTGTTAATGTCAGCCAGAGATGGACTATAACCTCCACATAGTTAGCACTCACTGATACGTCTGTGATTGTGCCATAGCTCCCACTCACTCTTTGAGGCAATCAATCATTGCTGATCATGGTCCTAGACAGTCCATATGTGTGTGTGTGTGAATGTGTGTGTGTGTGTGTGTTTTCCCAGGGTCTCACAAAACTTTCTAATCGTTTGGGACCTGTTTCTAGGTTATAGTAGCGGAGTCAGATGTATCCGTTTTTATTTTCTTTCACATGTATTCTTTCTAATATAAGCTTCTCCTTTTGGGGCTTAGCCATTTGAATTCTGAGTTAACAAGCTTGTAAAAGCCAAAACCGTATGCTTTCATGCTTAAATTCTCTCCAAAAAGTTTAAAGAAGTTTGTTTTTATTTCTACTTCTGTGCATATAATTGATCACTCTGATCTATTTTAATGTGAATAACAATGCAAAATAAGTGGTAGTAGTTGATAGGGAAATAAATGCCCTGTAGTTAGTATATCAAAATATTCCCTCACTGCAAATTTAAATAGATTAGTTCAAAAGTATTGGAAAAAATATATATTTCAGTGTTACATGTCTGTGAAACCTGGGTCGCATTATTATGAAGCCATGACTCAAGATTTAGTCTCTAAGGATGGTTGCTATTTTGCAGCACGATTTACAACAGGAAATTAATGAAAAGGAGATTGTATTCTTTATATGTTACGGAGGCCACTACAGATGGTCCAAGTCATTAACTGCCTACCAAATTTTCTAATATATCCTTTTAATTTTCAAGCATGGAGAGAGATACCTATCCTGTCCTCAATTTAGTTTAATAACTTCTTGTCCTTTTCCCCTCATTCTTTCTTATAGAATTTTTAAGAACAAAAGGGCTTACCTCCAAAAAGGGGCAACATTTTCCTATATGTTGTGAAGAAAAAGAAACAGCTTCAGCGAGATTGCCATCCTCTTTCAGTCTAGGTTGAAGGGAAAGGCTCAGCACATAAAAGCACTAGCAATCTGTGCTGAGTGCTGAGAGAACACCAGAAAGGAAGTTCTCCATCTGTGTAAGGGGAGGAGGGAAATGGGTGGGCCAGGAAAGCATATATGGAGGACGTGGGGTCTTGAAAATGAAAAATGTGCCAGAAGGAGAAAAAGGAACTGCAAAAGTGTGATCTCGCACTTCTCTCTTCTCAATCTCTCTCTCTCTCCCTCACTCTCTCTCTCTCTCTCTCTCTCTGAGAGAGGATCTTACTCTGTCACCCAGGCTAGAGTGCCGTGGCATGATCGTAGTTCACTGCAGCCTTGAACTTCTGGGCTCAAGTGATCCTCCCACCTCTCCCTTCTGAGTAGCTGGGACTACAGCTCCACACTAGCACAGCGGGGTAATATTTATTTATATTTTTCCTGTAGAGATGGAGTCTCACTATGTCACCCTAGCTGGAGTCTAACTCTTGGCCTCAAGCGATCCTGCTGCCTTGGCCTCCCAAAATACAGACTATAGGTATGAGCCACTACACTCAAGTTTTTGCTTCTCTTCACTCTTCTAACCCTTACTTATCTCCCATGCAACTATTATTTATTACAACTTGTGTTTGCGTGTGGTGTCTGAGTGTACATGGTCTCTTTCCTTATATTACACATTTCTTGAGGGTAAAATTATGTGTTATATTTACTTATTATTCCTAAGAGAGCAATTTAGTAGATTGTAGATACTTGACAAAGGCTATATTTGCCTGTTGCTGAACTTAATTCCTTTATGCAAAATATGAATCACGTGTGGCTACATAGAGGCCTTCAAAATCTTCAGCCCATAGAAGGAAAGCACAGTAACTATAACTCACAAGACACTTCTGAACTCATGTGGAGCTTGGAATAGAAGTCTGGAGGAGGGAAATTCCACAAAAGATCACAGATGTATTATTTGCAGATTAGTCAACATATGGCATGTTTAACTGCAGCTCTGAAAAATACAAGACTAAAACTGATGGTTCATTTTTAAAGTAACAAGGTATTGAGGCTTCTGAACATCATTTGAAAATGCCAGTGTTGGCCTGGTGCAGTGGCTCACACCTGTAATTCCAGCACTTTGGGAGGCCAAGGTGGGTGGATCTCTTGAGGCCAGGAGTTCGAGGCCAGCCTGGCAAACATGGTGAAACCTTGTCTCCACTAAAAATACAAAAATTAGCTGGGCGTGGTGGTGGGTGCCTGTAATCCCAGCTACTTGGGAGGCTGAGGCAGGAGAATCTCTTGAACCTGGGAGGCGGGGGCTGCAGTGAGCCGAGATGATACCACTGTACTCCCTCCTGGGCCACGAGAGTAAAACTCTGTCTCAAAAAAACAGAAAAGAAAAAGGAAAGGAAAGAAGAAAGAAAGAAGGAAAGAAAGAAAGAAAGAAAGAGAGAGAGAGAAAGAAAGAAAGAAAGGAAAAGAAAAAAGAAAGAAAAAGAAAGAAAAAGAAAGAAAGAAAGAAAGAAAGAAAGAAAGAAAGAAAGAAAGAAAGAAAGAAAGAAAGAAAGAAAGAAGGAAGGAAAGAAAAAAGAAAATGCCAGTGTTTTGTTGACTCAAACGAAATTACCGAAAGCATATTTCACATTTTAAAAATTGAATTGGAAATTCCAAAGTAGTTGAAAGTTTGGAGGGGAAAAATGATTTTTCTAAGGGGGTCGACTGTTTGTTTCATCATAAAGTCACAATGTACTACCCCTCTTTCTCCCACAGGAAAAGAAAAAAACACAGAAGATATGAAATAAAACCATTTTAGTATTATCCAAAATTTATAATCTTCCTCTTCATTCATCTTGAACAGTAAAAAGAAGCTTGGAAATTTAAAAAATAAAAGATTAACACTAAATCCCAGGAAAACATTCAGAATTCACTGTTACTATTAAGATCATTTAACAATGAGGAGGCCTCCTTGCTCTAAATTAGATCATACATTGATCATTCATTTTAATCACAGAGAGACAGAAATTTTAGGACTCCGTATGACAGAGTGAACAAAAGTTTCACGTGACTCCTATGCCTTATCAATAGCAACGCCCACTTTATTTCCACTGATTACTGTTTTAGGTTTTAAATCTCTACTTGAAGGTGGACAGCTTCAATTTTCTGGAAGATTAAGAGCCTCACAGGTGCACTACATTTGTGCATGGGAAGAACAGATTGCCAAAGCCTCTTATCTGAGACTCTGGCAGGCTCTACTGCACTGCAATCCCATTGTTTGAACTATGACTCCATAATGAAATCCAATTACAGTTTCTTTTTTACAGTATGTTAAATCCCCATGGACGTTCTCCCTAATATATTTATGTAGATATATGTATTAAAAGCACAAGACAGGCATACTTCTAACCAAAGAAAGAATATCACTCATCTTTCCTCAAGACAGACATGCATCTAGTTATTCATAAAGTACAAACCAATACTTTGGTTTAAGGACTGTTTTCATCTTTTATTTGTGTACTAATTTTCTCAAAGAAAAAATATATATCTTGCCGTTATGCACTGAATGTTGTGTCTCTTATAGAAATCATAGGTTGAAGACTTAACCCGCAGCGTGACAATATTTGTAGATGGGGCCTCTAAGAATTAACTTAGGTTAAATAAGGTAATAAAGGTGGGACCTCGATCTGATAGAATTAGTGTCCCTGCAAAAAGAGACACCAGGCCAGGCGTAGTGGCTCACGCCTGTAATGCCAGCACTTTGGAAGGTTGAGGCTGGTGGATCACGAGGTCAGGAGTTCGAGACCAGCCTGACCAATATCGTGAAACTCTGTCTCTATTAAAAATAGAAAAAAAATTGCTGGGCTTGGTGGCATGCACCCATAATCCCAGCTGCTCAGAAGGCTGAGGCACAAGAATCTCTTGAACCTGAGAGGTGGAGGTTGCAGTGAGCTGAAATCACACCACTGCGCTCCAGCCTGGGTGACAGAGCAAGACTTCTTCTAAAAAAAAAAAAAAAAAAAAAAGACACCAAAGAGCTCCCTTACCTCTCTTACCATATGAGGCGAGATTGGCCATCTGCCAGCCAGGAAGAGAGCTCTCAACAAAAATCAGTGTCCAGATCTTGATCTGGGACTTCCAGCTTCCATAACTGAAAAGAAAATTCTGTTGCCTAAGCCACCCAGCCTGTGGTATTTGGTTATGGCAGCCTGAACAGACTAATACACTTGCTAATACCAAGTAACCTTAGGCTAATTAGAAAAGGCACAGTTAGGCTGATAAAAATTAGAAACTACTTCTTCTGAATGTTAATTTTGTATTGATTTTTTCTAGTATATAATTAAGTGATATTACAGTATGGTTCTCAGTTTGTGTTATTCTTTGAAAGTAATTTTGGAAGAGAAGATGTAAGTCAGAGTATTGAAAAACCACAAATTTGAGTTTTTATCTGTAAAATTCTAAGAATTCACATAAATCCTAACATAATTTCCTGTTAGCTATAAGTTATCTGAAATTGTTAGGTAAGTGACTTAAGATTGATTATATTTCTAATTTTTGTTATAACCTACATTTTTTTAAACTTTTTTAAAAATTAGTATTTATTTGTTTTACTTGTTCTCATTACATCCCCATCTTTAGTTCATTGTATCTGCCCTCTAGTGCCTTTAAAAACATTGTATAATATTTGGCTATACCTTCCTGATACAGCAAGAGCTCTGGCCTATAGCAATTACATTCTCCCCGGAAGCAACAATTTGAAGAAAATTTTGTAAGTAGATTGTATCGGGACTTTCCTAATTTACAACTTTATTAAAAAATAGTCACAAAATATGCTGAATTTTGTCAAATTGTTGTTCTGAATCTGTTACAGCAGGGAATTTTTCTATTTTAATCTCTTAATTTGGTGGATTACATGAATTAATTTTTGTAGTGTTAAACAACAGCCCTTGCCTTCTGTGATGCCTGTAACTTCCTTGTTATCCATTTTAAAGTGGTTTTAGTTTGCTACTATTTTGTTAAGATACAGCTACATTCATAAAGGAACTTGGAATGAATATATGTATGAAGCTAGAATATGCTTGATACAAAAATTCAAAATAGGGCAGCATGAAAAAGAAAGAAATATATATACATACATAGTATATATATATAGTTATCTATCTGTAGTCTTACGCATACGTATATATGTGTGTGCATATATATTTTTCTTTTTCATGCTGTTCAATTTTGAGGTTTGAATCACAAATATGCTAGCTTTATAAAATAAGCTAAGGTTTTTACTTTTTTTTTGTATTATCTAGAAGCGTTTTCGTTTAACTGCAAATTTTTAAAAATTTTTTTAAACATTTGATAGAAGCTACCAGTAAAGCCTCTTGAGCCAGGAGTTTTCTTTGTGGGAAGATATTTCACTACTTACTCAATTTTATTAATGGTTATGTGATCATTTAGGTTTACCTATTTCTTCTTTTTTTACTTTTTTGTTTTATTTTTGTAGGTACTTATGTTTATAAGGTACATGAGATGTTTTATTCAGACATGCGATGTGTAATAACCACATCATGGAAAATGGAACATCCATCCCAGTGAGCAAAATTCTTTGTGTTAAAATAATCTAATTATGCTCTTCTAGTATTTAAAAATGTACAATTAAATTATTATTGACTATATTCACCCCGCTGTGCTATCAAATAGTAGATCTCATTCATTTTTTCTATTATATTTCTTCTGAATAAGGTTTGCTAACATATACTCTAAAATATTTGTCTATATTCTTTAAATTCCAAATTTATGTGCATAAATTATGTCCTGTTATTTTATATTTTTAAAACCTGCAATTTCTGTAGTGTGTCTTGTTTTAATTCTTGTCATTAACTATTTGAGCTTTTCTTTTTCTCAAGCGTTTTTCTCTTTTTCACTATATGAAATTTATTTTTGATTATTTTTCATTTATTTAATATTTTTTTCATTTCTATTAGCCAGAGTCCACTCATAAAAGCATAAACATTAGACATATTAGACACATGTGTTTGTTTAATGTTAGTACACCTCCCTGGCCTTCCCAGGATTTCTATAACTTGCTTATTATCTATTATTTTAAGTTGTTGACTTTGTGTGTGTGTATATGTGTGTGTGAGATTATTGGATTTGATGTTATGCAATTGTGTGAGTTAATTAAACAGTTTCTGTAAGGATACTGTCT